ATCACTTATTTTGTATATAATTTTGTCAGTTTATTGTTTTTTAAATAATTAATTAGAATATTTAAAAATATTTATTTATAAATTAATTTTAATTTATCAAATAATAAATATATTTATTTTATTAATTATTAATTGTTGAATTAAAATAAACTTTTAACAATTTTAGTTTTTTTTTTTTTACATGGGAAATTATGAGAGAATAAGGAATTTTTTAAGTTGTTAATGAAAATAAAAATTCTGATCAATTAAACTCAGATATTAAAATTTAAAAACAAATTTGTTTAACAATTTTAGTTAACTTAGCGAAATTAAAGCTTGGAATAACCACAACCAGATTTAGGAACATTGATATGATGTAGAATCATGATTTCATTTTTCAAGGACTAATTAATTTAAACCAATTTGTACGACAAAATTTGTATCTTGGACCAGGTCAAAGATGATTATTCATGTCTGACATAATTTTGTGAGAAATTAGTACTTTCTGAAGAGGTGAGTAAAATTAAAAGAAGTACGAGTGTTCTCACGCATTAACCCAGTAGTTTAGTACTTGTCTTTTGGTAGGTACTAGGAACGCCGCCTACATTGGGTGTTCGATTCTTGAGGAATCTCTTTTCTTATTTTTTATAATACAGTAGAAATATTTGTAAAAAATTATGTTTGTTCAAAAAAATAAATTAAAAGAAGTACAAGTAAAATCACTGTAAGGCATGCTTGCAATGTCATTTTTTTAGGCTTTATTCGCCCCACCAATGATAATAATGGTACGTAAAAGGGTTAATGGCAAATTGCCCCTAGGATACAATGAAGTCTATTATTTGACAAACGTTTTGCACTGACAGAATCAAACTTCACTGAGCATTCACCAGAAAAGCAAAATTATCCTTTTACTTATATGCAGTTTTTTATAGTAAACTTCATACCAAAGTGACTTGGTTTTAAAAAGTAAGAGAGAATTTGTATGTATGTAGAAAATATGGATGTGCAAGTAACCAATTTATTTGGTCATTTTCGAAGATGGAGGGTTGCCTTTGAAGAGATGTGATCATGTAAAAATGTGTCTTTTTAAATGTACAAATTTTACAAAATAATCATGACTTTACAAATCTATATGACTATTTAAAGAATTATAATTTTTATTTTGTACATGACTCTTCATTTATTTGAAAAAATACTAACACTTTCCAATAACCCAAAATGTATAGAAATTATCATAAACATTAACATTTTTCGCTCTTATTTGAGATAGGAGAAAGAATTATCAAATCGATCCAGGATAGAGGAAACTGTAGGGACCTCATTCTAGAGGAGCGGTTACCAAACACAAACGGACGAGTAAATGAGAATGGCACCACATTGGGAAAAAGCTGAAAATAACTTCTGTAGTTATGTTGTTCCCATCCAGGCAGGGTCAGTTGAGTGAGGTCCCTGTAACTCTGAAAGCTTACAATTCAGGAATCTAGATCAAAAACATGATTTACACCAACCAGACCAGCGCATCAAATCTGGCCCAATCTTGGAGTGTACTTGATTTCCCCAAATACGTACCAATTAATTCTCATGCCTTCAAAAGGATTTTTACAGAGACAGCGAGCCGATCGTACATAGATTGCGTGTAATTTTTGCATTCCTAAACTCCATCCCTGTAAATTGGTTTTTTGTTTTATAATTTTGAATGATTGTTTTTTTATATTAACAGTAGTATTCAAAAATTATATTAAATTTTAATTAATTTAAAATCAAATTAAATTAAACTATATAAAATTTTTTTTATTTACAAAATTTGAATTTAAAATTTTATTTAGAAGAAATTAAGATTTTACACTCAAATTAATAGATAATTAATATAATTTTTCATTATTATTACAATGATTTATGTTTAGGGCAATCTATTATGTATGTCTCTTTTACTAAAAACACTCTTCTATGAAGATTTCATTATGCATGCTAATCAAACAGAGATTGCGTGAATGAGATATTCGAAAATTTTAGTTAGAATTAATAATATTTTTACACTGTGCGAAGCAACCATAATTGTGTGATGCAATCAACATGAGGTTCGCTTCCTGTAGATTTTCTATCCTTAAAAGAAACTTATTTTTGATTCCTAGTTTTAGGGTAAGTTCTTTTATCTCCATCTTTCTCATCATAATTAACTTTTTCTATGGATTTCACCCCTAAATCAAATCATTTTTAGAGGCTTATGAGGCATCTGGTACAGTGATAAAAGTCTCACTTTATACGGATTAATTGTGCTACATAAGTGGTTCACGTTAAAAAATTAAATAAATTAAGAAACTCAATTTATGGTGGCAACCTTAAAACCACCCACTCCAAACCTTAAAAAATACGGATGTTATATCCATGGCTCATTCTCGGAAATATATATCATAATAGAAAAGGGCAATCTGTTTTATAAAGGGAGTTTTATTTTACTTAATGATAGATAAACAAATATTTAATTATTAATAAAGAGAATAAATTTTTGATATTAAGATCTATTTCTCTATCAATAATA